TTATATTGATAGACAAAAAAAATTATAATTTAAAAAAATAAAATAAAAACTGTGTCAAATGTGAAATTTAAACTTCCACTGCTGCAGAATAACTTGAAGTTGTTAACCTATTACTTGATCTCTGAAAGCTATACATCTCTGACAAATATTTCTCAGTTTTGCTGACCTAAACTTTGTCTTTAGCAGGGGAAGGAAATGAAGCCGTGAAAGTTGCTACAGCAAACACCCTCAGACTGAGCAGCCGGTCATCGGTTGATGCTACAGTAAGATAATTTAATTGGCCATTTTATCTCTGAAAATGTCAGTTCTGGTGACGTAAACATTGCTGATCATTTTTATACCATTTAAGGTTCTTCCCTGGACTTGATCTACTTATATTTAAATAAAAACTAGAAACTTGAGGGTGTTCTAAAACACACCGGCAGTGTCTTCAGTCTTCTGTCAGGTTGATACTGCAGTGTCAGTGGACCCCCGTCCGAGGGTCGACGGTGCGCCTGGTACTCACCGGGGTCCTGCTCTCTGACGGTCTGCAGCAGGCGATCTGCAGGACATTCAGACACACAGAGCAGAGAGACGGACGCTGATCGTTCCGCTTCCACCTCCAGCAGCTTCAGGTCGCACTGAGATCCAACAGCCAGCAGTCTGAAGCTGCTGACGCCCCGACTGTGGACGGACGCCTCCTCCCAGAAAAAGCTAGAAGCGGAAGAACATTTGAAGAGTTTGATTTGTTTCTCTGACTGCGGACACAAAGCTGAGCACATTAAGATATTTTGCCATTAGCTAGGGAATTACTAGCATCGATCCTGAGACCACAGAACTACCGTAAAGCTTCATTTCGAAGGTTTTCTGGATGTACAACAAATATGAATGTTCATTTTTAAGCCAGTATGGACATGCTACACTTTGTACATCGGTTAGATTCTCCACAATTCAATCGTTCAGTTGATTTTATGAAAACAATGAGCACCAAAAGGTTCATTCAGATTTACCGGCATGTGTGTCCATTCCTTGATTATTTCTATTCCTTTAGTCCGTAAGCGTCCACCGATCAAAACAATAAAACAGTACTTCATAAAAATGTAATCCACGTTAGCTTCACCTTTATGAGCTACTACAACATTAAAGTGATTATTAACACATTAAAGCATCAAAAATTATTATGTAGCAATATTTTATTCTCAAATGTCCCATTCTGCACAATGTGTACTTTCACTTTTGGTACTTGAAGTCCATTTTAATGGTAGAACTTTTGTACTTAAGTAACATTTTGAATGCAGGACTTTTCAGTGGTGGACCGTAAGTAAGTACTTTCCCTCAAGTCACGAACTGAAGTACAAATTCGAGGTTCTTGTATTTTACTTGAGTGTTTTCTTTTCACCACATCTCAGAGGGAGATATTGTACTTTTTACTTCACTACATTTATCTGAGAGCATCAGTTACTTTACAGAGACAGATTTCTGGAGGTGTCCCTTTGGGCTCTGGGCAGCTGTGACGACATTTCCCACTATTGGAAAAAGTAATTAACTGCTGTCTGATACAAAATAGTTAAATCAGTTAAATCCTGCTTTTACATGAATGCACGAGGAATAATAATCTGATGACATACTACATAATAGTACAACAGTCACAGGGGACAGTTTTATTTCTATGTTGAGTACATTTACTTTTAATACTTTAAGTACACGCAGTCCTTTGTTTTGGTACATGACTAACAACACCATCTAATAAGCAATACATGAGATCCAATGATATTTTTATAAATTGCCAAGGGTCTCTTAAATGTTCATTTGTTTATTTGAAAAACACATTTTTGCTGAAATCATTAAAATCTTTGCAGGAAACTGAGATTATTGTCTTTGCTGAGACAAACTAACAGCATCTAAAATACAATTCATTTAAAAGTGAACTGACTGTGTTGTATGGGTGAGTGTTTCTGCACAGTGTGTCGTGTAATTAAAACAGTTTAGGTTTTACAAGGATATGTACGGATACACCTATAACCTGTTTTGCTCCCTCAATTTCTTTCTAATTTTTCAGTAAGCCTGTTGGTACACGTGTTGGCGAGCTAAAAAAGAACCTCAAATGACAATTTTTACTAAAACTATTTGACTTTGAAAGCGCCTGGCAAGACATCTTTCAGAAACATTTTAACTTGTTGTTACGGATAATTGCTTTATCGCCCTGATGAGTGAAATTTCCTCACTCGGTTTGGCCGTGATCCGTTTTCCATTGCAGACCCAGAGATGGCATCCCTCAATGTAGCTGGTCGTCATAGCGACGCCACACACAACTGCTGCGACGTAATGTTTAATGCGACACACACACACACACACACACAGCTGTCTCTTGATGCTGTCTCTCAGTTGTTGCGTCAGCGGTCTGTGTGACGGTGGGACCAGGGCAGGCGGCTGGCCGGCCTCGCCAGCTCCTCCCACGGGTTGGCGCAGGCTTCCTCCGCCGCTCCTCAACTCTTTTCATAAAACTGGCAATATTCAACATCTACACAGCTGATTTCTCACCTCAAAGCTCCTCAGAAGTGGATTTAGTGATGAAATAACGTGTGAAAACTGTAAAATGTAAAACTTTCTGCTGCTGGCCTCTGTCAGGCGCACGCAATGATGACGCAGTGAATAGTGACCTGGAAGCAGGTACAACTTTTCCACAGTGGAAAACGAGTGGAGCTGGTCCCGCAGAGGAAAAGGGCCTCATGTCCAGCTTATTTTCTACAGGATTTCTCTGATGTCCTTCATGTAGACTCTGCCCCGCCCACTATACAAGTCTCAGACCAATCAAAACTATTTTTACATGTCAACTAGTGTCGTAGCAACAATTCAAGATCAGTATTTGTGATTGGCTGTAAAAGTGAAGCTCAAACATTATTTGGCCCATTAGTACTTTTAGTAAAGGACCTAAATACTTCTAGGACTTTTACAGTACTTGTGTCAGAGCAACTTATACTAAAGTAAAACACCTGATTACTTCTTCCACTGCTGCTCATGACAAATGCATTTTATATATTTAAAAGCTGATTTATTTCTGAGTTTTTCCTATAAACGCAGATTTCTTTGGGATGATAAGATGTCTGAAGTGACTTCGGGCTGCGGGACTCACTCCGTGTAGCAGCCGTCCGCTGCAGCCGGAGGGGCCTCTCTGTCCGCCGGGTCCCAGACCACTAGCCGCCCCCGGGCCCCCAGACACCCGAGCAGGGAGCCTCCAGGAGCCAGTTCAGCTTTCTGGACGTCTGCTACTTCTCCACAGTGCTGGTTCTCCGGGATCACACACACCTCCAGCGAGTCTCTGTCCGGCCGCTGATCCGCCTCCAACATCTTCACGCGTTGGACGAGCGACGTGTGAAAGAGGCTGCGGGTTCAGGTGTTTGAAAAGAAAAGCAATCTGACGGCGACAGACTGCGACTACGCCGACATTTCTTCTTGTCATGTAAACAGCAGCTGGGCCCGGAGTCACATGCCCTCACTTCCCCTGTCAGCTGACCAAATCTGACCAATAGGCAAACGGCACAGAAGTCGACTTAATCGAAAGACGACCTTGGTGCACAAGTGATTTTAGCAACGAGAATTGTAGTTTCTGTGGTGGATACGATAGAGTATTAGGAATTAAATGGGGAAAATAAGATTTTCCAGAATAAAGTGAAATGGTACTTCAGCTTTATTCTCCTCATGTTGTTTTTGTTCTTGTCATTTTTGCTTTTTTCCCCCCAGCATTTCCCCTGTTGTGAAGAATTTCTGGCAAAATGTATGTGGCTTTATTTCTGAAAATATTGATGAAAGTTTTGTTTTTCTTTGGAAAAATGTATTGTTTGGTTTCCCAGAAAATAACACACAGAGAAACACTTATTTGTACTTGATTAATCTTCTTTTCATAATGGCCAAATTTGATATCCATCCATCCTCAACTGCTGGCATCACACACACGCCGCCAGTCCATCGCAGGGCCACACACAGACAAACAACCACTCACATCCACAACTAAGGACAATCTGAGAGACACCAATTAACCCCGTCTGTGGACGGTGGAGGAAGCCGGAGCACCCGGGGAGAACATGCAAAGGCCGGGACAACCGGGGTTTGAACCCACGACCTTCTTGCTGCGAGGCGACAGTGCAAACCACTGCACCGGTCAAAATTTCATTTCACAGATTAGAAAACTTGCTTTTTTTGCCGTTACAAAAGTGTACAAACAATAAATTGTCTAAATTCAACCGTCCCTTGATTTGTACTCCTAATTTTAATTTACTGTACTTTTCTCAAAATCTCTTGAAAATGATAAATGCTGTTGAACACAGACGCCCCCGGTACTTGGGGCAGCATGTGATCATCAAACCCGCTGACTTACTTTTGCTACAGGCCTGGAAAGTGTGTGAGTGCCTTTGGTGACAGGAATGTTGATGAATACTCAGTTTTTATCAATATTTCAATGTTATGGTATTTGGAACTTGGTTGTCTGGACAGAAATAGTGTTTTAAAGATAACTCCCAATAAAAGTCAACACTTAAACAGTAAATATTGCCAAAATATGGCCATTTGCCTGGTATATTTTGAAAATGTTTTATGATAACTGTTGTATTTTAGTTTATTCTCATCAGATTTATGGTTACAATTGAATTCCAGGTGTATTAAAATATCATCAGTTGCATTATAATCTATCTTATGATGGTTTATTGCATTAAATCACAGCTTTTTTGTTTATTTTTTTTTTATGAGGCGAGGATGAAAATATCTCATTTCTTCTTTATTGCATCTCCATTTACTCTGTAATGGTAAAATAAATGTGTTAATTTAGCTTCTGACCTTTCAAAAGGAGACCAGAATTATGCATCCAGGCCAAATGGTTGAGGAGATATTCCTGAGTCATTTTGGGTTTTTCCTGGAAAAGGGTGTCTGCAAAACTACTAATAATAATAATAATAAGATTAAAAAAAAAAAATCACAGCTGGGTGATCGATTGCTTTTCCCTGTGAGCAGATAGAGGAAGCGGAACTGATCTGTAAACTCCGTGTATTTGCAGTGAAGTCTGGTGTGGAGCTGTTTGTTCTTTACGCATGAAGATAAAGATCCGCTAAAGCTGCTGTCAGCGTCTCCAAAGTCAGCCTGTCCTTTCTGCTATGGCGTCTTCTGCAGAATGGCAGTAGTGTTCAGCCTTGTGTCGTTAACTGTCACCAAGGTTTTACAGTTTTCGGGACTTAGCGACAACAGGAATGCGCTGAAGACTCAGAAGATGGAGGAGAAAGCGCTGGAAGTTTACGGTGAGTGACCCCTGGAGCTGCAGGGAACTTTAATGTCATTAACGAGCTTATGTGAGAGAGAGATTTGGGTTTGTGCAAGTGAGAAAACTGTACACCAGACTCTATTCAAAAATGGGGGCTTTTAAGTGTGCTGGCCGCTCGTCGGACTGTCACACAGCACTCGGCTAAAATAACGAACTTGTTTCACAAACGGCGCCAGATTGTAATCAAAATGATGTGTGGGGTGTTTTTATTATTATTTTAGACCGTAAGAGAAGTTACATTAAAGTTAAAGGCTTCTTTTTGGGTCTGATGTCCATGATTGGTTGCCCTTAAAAATTAGAGATACCTTCTTTTGTATCCAATATTATTTTTTATGGATAATTTGGACGCACACGTTGTAATTGTAATTCTTTTGGGTAAATACCACAAATACTTGCAAGTTGAAAGGCAGTACTCCCTCTTTTACTGTGTTCATAAGTTCTTTTACCAACTACTTCCAGTCGCTGAAAGCAAAACTTGTTCAGTCCTCGCTTTGTTAATGTCTCATCTTCCTCTCTTGTCCTCATCTTCTGCACTTACAGCAGGAGAAATAGGTAAATAACACATCAACATTTTCTTTAGTGAACATATTTCCAATGAAGTTGGGACGTTGTGTAAAACATCAATACAATGATTTGCAAATCCTTTTCAACCCATGTTCAATTGAATGCACCACAAAGACATTTAATGTTCAAACTGATGCATGTTTACCGCTGTGTTATATCACCTTTCCTTTAACTATAAATGTTTGGGAACTGAGGACACTAACTGTTGAAGCTTTGTAGCTGGAATTCTTTCTCATTTATGCTTGATGTCCAACTTCAGTTGCTCAACGGTCCGGGGTCTCCGTTGTTCATAATGCGCCACACATTTTCAATAGGAGACAGGTCTGGACTGCAGGCAGGCCGGTCTGGGTGCCGCACTCTTTTACTACGAAGCCACGCTGCTGTGACCCGTGCAGGATGTGGCTTGGCATCATCTCGCTGGAATAAACAGGGACGTCCCTGAAAAAGACGTTGTTAGGATGGCAGAATATGTTGCTCCAAAACCTGCATGTACTTTTCAGCATTAATGTGCAAGTTCCCCTGCCATGGGCACTAACACCCCCCCATACCATCACAGATGCTGGCTTTCCAACTTTGCGCTGATTACAAGCCGGATGGTCCTTTTCCTCTTTGGCCCGGAGGACACGACGTCCATAACGTCCAAAATGTGGACTCGTCAGACCACAGCACACTTTTCCACTTTGCGTCAGTCCATCTCAGAGAAGCCGGCGGCGTTTCAGGGTGTTGTTGATATGTGGCTTTGGTAGAGTTTTAACTCGCACGTGTTGATTGTGTGAACTGACTCTGGTTTCCTGAAGTGTTGCTGAGCCCGTGTGGTAATATCCTTTACACACTGATGTCTGTTTTTAATGCAGTGCCCAGAGGGGTCGAAGGTCACGGGCATTAAGTGATGGTTTTCGGTCTTGCTGCTTATGTGCAGAGATTTATCCAGATTCTCTGAATCTTTTGATGATGTTACGGACCTTAGATGATGAAATCCCTAAATTCCTTGCAGTTGCACGTTGAGAAACGTTCTTCTGAAACTGTTTCTGGGATGCACCTTTTATACCCAATCATGACTCACCTGTTTCCAATTAACCTGTTCACCTGTGGAAAGTTCCAAACAGCTGTTTTTGAGCATTCCTCAGTCTCTAGTCCCTGTCTCAGCTTTATTTGGAACGTGGTGCAGGCATCAAATTCAAAGTGAGTGAATATTTGCAAAAAACAATAAAGTTTATCAGTTTGAACCTTAAATATCTTGTCTTTATAGTGTGTTAAACTGAATATTAATAATAATATATTTGTAAATGATTGTATTCTGGTTTTATTTACGTTTTACACAACGTACCGGCTTCATTGGAACTGGGGTTGTACATGAAACTGTCACCAGGCTTCAGTATTAACTCAAGCAATCCACACATACATAAATCAAAACATTGAAGACCATAAAGAAAGTTATGTTTAAAAAAGATAAATAAACTTAATTTTATTTAATACTTAGTGGAGAAGCCTTTGTTTGAAATCAGCTTCCAGACGCCTCCTGTAAGAAGAAATTACTCTGCCGCAATATTCAGGTGGTAAAGGGCTCCATTCTTTAATTATCTGAAGTCTGCCAGTACCATGCGATTAAAAACAGCACCACACCATGACGCTTCCACCTCCAAACGTCCCTGTCGGTGTTGTGTTTTTAGGGTGAAGTGCAGTGCCATTTCTTCTCCAAACATGGTGTGCAGAATCAAAAGTTCAGGCTTGCTCTCATGGTACCAGACCACACCCTGCCAGTATTTCATTGGCTTGCGAGGAGCTCTCGTGCGTGGCCGGTTGATGACTGAGTGATGGAGCTTCCGCTTGCGGATGATGGCCCCAGTGGTGCTTACTGGAAGATTCAGAAGTTTTGAAATACGTCTGTATCCGATTCCATCAATGCTCTTGGCTTTTACCCATCATGAGATGTTTCTTGTGTGACACCTTGATAACAAAAAGCCTTTTTGTAGACCATCGCTCTACTAACCCAGCTGATAACACTTTGCCTGACAGGAGGTAAAATGACTTTCTACTAACTACTGATGGATCTCAGCTGCTTCCTGGACTCTCCTTGCCAGTCCAGTATTCTTTTCCTGCGTCATTCCACTTTATTGCACATAACTTTATTTGTGGTCTTTAATGTTTGGTATTAACTCAAGAAATCCACATGTGTACAGGCTCACTGGAAATATCTTACTGAACAAAATGTTGACGTGTTAAATACTTATTCCCCCACTGTGACTGTTTTTATTTACTTAGTTTATTCAAAAAACTATCTCTACTTTATTATTATCTGTTTACTTATATTATCCTGATCTCGGTCTTTCAGTTTATTACTTACATTGTCTGCTGCTATGTTCATGTGTGCTATAATATCATTTCTTCATTTTCTGTTGGATGTATACCCATTCCCTAACTTGTTTGTATATTTTGTACTTTTTCAATAAGGGGGGTTATGGCAGGTTGCCCTCACTGCAGGCGTAAACATAAATAAATGATCTATTCTTTCTGAGTGGAGTGACATGAAGTTTGGTGTGTTTGGACGAATGTCAGGTTTTGGGATTAGTACTTGAACGGAACTCCAAATAAAGTAATTATTTTCTGAATGGAGTTTGGTTTGTGAGTAACATGTAGAGCGACTACAACTGATGTATCCTGTTATTTTTTTATTAAATCTAAAAACTGTAACATTAGAACTGTCTATCCAATCCATAAATCGTAGTTTTGTTTTGTTTTGATGCAATGAATTCATTTTAAGTTGCTGTATTTCAAAATTCACTTGTCATTCGGTGAAACCAAAAAAGGAATTTCATCACACAATGCAAATCCTGCAGATGTTTTGGGTTTATTTTGGATTCATATAAAACTAAACTCACTTTAAACTACTTTGTAGTAGTTGTACTAAACCAAGACGCGTCTTTTTTCCTGCCTTTTTGTCAGATGTGATTCGATCGATCCGGGACCCGGAGAAGCCCAACACCCTGGAGGAGCTGGACGTGGTGACGGAGAAATGCGTGGAGGTCCGGGAGCTCGGAGAGGACGAGTACCTCATCATTATCAAGTTCTCTCCAACCGTCCCCCACTGCTCTCTGGCCACTCTGATCGGTGAGTCACTCAGCTGATAACAGAACGCGAGTCTGGATGGTCTTGACACACACCGAGATGACGGCAGACTCGTCGTACCGGTTTGTAGGCTTCATTCAGGGTGTAGTCAGATCACTAGAATTAAAATGCACTCCTGTTGGAGTGGAGATGTTTTCACTACCAGCCACCCTTTTTACATTACAGGGAGTCACTTTATTCAATATTAACATTAAAGTACTGCTCAATAATGCTTTTTAAAGGAATAATTCACCCAAAAATCAGTAGTACATACAATACAACAACAGTTTTATACATTTCCTTTGAGGATTAGAAGAAAACTTAACTTTGGTGTTAAAAAAAATACTAAAAATGAAATAAAAACAAAACACAAGAGGTTTGAAAAAACCAGACGTTATAACCCATCACATGAGTTTTTATAGCCCTGAACTAACTTCAATATTACCTTTTCTAACGTGCTAGCATCACCTGCGGAGCTGCAGCTAACGATTATTTTATCATCAGTTAAAACTTAAATTAAAACTAATTTTCTCAATCGCTTGGTTTATAAAATCCTAGAACAGTGAAAAATGCACAGTTTCCCAAAGGACCAGCTGAAAAGCCTAAAGATGTTTAGTTTGCCCTCAGAAGATTACAAAACCAGCAACTTCTCACATGAGGTTTGATTAATTATCAAAATGGCTGCTGATCAATCATCTGTCCAACCATTTCAGCTCAAATCACCTGCACGTTACCTAACATCAGCCGCTAGGCTGTGACCTGACAGAGAGCTTTACATTAACGCCACCGAAGTCCTGTGCAATTAACCCTTTCACGCATAGTGCTCACTACAGTGGACAGCTATTCAAAAGACACTTGAATGTGCAGAGGTCCTGATGGTCTAGTTGTGTATCAGCCACTACAGCGGACGCTAGTGTGTCATGCCATACGCTGCCACCCTCTGGTAAGCCGTTGTAATTGCAACTTAAATTCATCAAAACCAAGATGGCCGACGGATGATCGGAAACCCTGTGCAGTTCAGGTAAATCTTGACATTCCTCCAATTATAGGAGACCCCTGCAGGTAAATACAATTTGGTAACATTGAGTAAAAACTGAGGAGTAATACAATTGTTCAACTTTTAACAAGTATTGATTTTTATGCTGGGAGGAAGTTGCAATTAATCATCTGTCCACTAAATTGGACATTATGCTTGCTGGCTATATTTTAAATACTAGTTCATTGTATTTAAAATATAGCCAGCAAGCATAAGCTCAGAAGTGAGCTTCAGCGTTTTTGCATTGCATTAAACTGCATTAGAATATGTTAAAATATGTGACCACATTAGTTTAACAGCCTGAAAAATATAGTTTTCACATACTATATAATTGTATTCATTGGTTTGTTAAATAAATATTTCTTAAGTTAAAACCTTACGCGCATGCTGTCCACCTTAGTGGACATGTAAAAAAACTCCTTGAAAAATGTGTCTTTAAAATTTTTTTATTTTGCATGCCTAAAGAGCAATAAAAACACATGCAATTCATGCATGAAAGGGTTAATTAATCGGCTGATATTAGACAGATAAACTCGAAAAGTAACAAGAAATTGCCGTACAGAAATGCCAAACTAGTTCAATCTCGAAACGTTTTCCACCCGTTAGCTACAGTTTCCAGGTTGAAGATGTTTTCTAGAAATATTAAGGTAGGTTTTCTCTGGTTTGGGGGGCGTGTTGAGGTGTTACAGGATCAGCAGCAACATGTATGTAAACCCTGCATATTAAAAAGGAAGTTAAGTGAAGAGCGCTTGCGAACACAACTGGGTGTTCAAGGCAGCACTGTTTCTGTTCAAATAAATGTATTGCTAAGTTTGGTCGAGGGTCCAGGTTTGAGTGGATTTATTCATGTTTACACTGTAAAAAAAAAATTTATTTATGTGTTTTTGTTGAAAGTCAGATTACCTGAATATGAATCATCACGGTACTTTTCTTCAGAAGGAATATTGTACCTCTTTTGTTTTTCATAACTACTCTTTATTTTCTTATTACATGAGCGACCGTTATGGCCTTTTGTTTACTGCACTGCTACTAGAAGCGAGTACAGTTCAGTACTGCAGCTGAAAGCTTGACCCTTCACCTCATTACTGTGGGTGACCAGTCTAATCTGTTTCAGTCAGAGAAATGACAAGAATGTGAATCTGAATAAGAGGAATCCGTTCCTGGATCACAGCGTTGCGCTCGAGCTGTAATCCCGTCCGAGAAGTGGGATCATGGAAACATGTGAAGAAAATGTTATACACACGAAACACATCTTTGCTTTTCATAAATTGAAATCTGTGTGACTTGTGTCTGAGTTTCTGTGCAGTTATTTTTGGCTCTTTTAAACATAATGTCCCTGCTAACTGGATGGCAGAAGGGTAAATATAAAACTTGGCTTCCATTCATGCACATATGCACACAGTTAATTGGATTCGGGAGTCCATTAGCTACAAGATATGAAGTGGGCACAAGTCCAGCGCTGGAACAGACCACTTCACGAGTTTTACTCTCAGCACTCTGCGCCTGTGTTCAGGCTCTCAGCAGGGTGAAAAACACACATTAGTCTTTTCACTCAGCAGTTTTCACTCGCCATGTATATCTTAGTCATCCAGACAGTTTTATAATGAGCGAGCAGTTTTTCAAAGACACCTTAAGTAGTTTAAGAGTCACATAGAACTTATTTTCCACATTATAATTTCTGTTGTCTGAACCTGCTTGTTCCAAACACGGTTTTCAGTTGCAGTAAACAAGATTCAAGATGTGTTTTGTATGATTTTTATGCATCGTTTACACAAAGCACATTTGCTTTTGATGCTTTGTAACGACCCAAAAAGCTTTTAGTTTGGTGATTTTCAGGTCTAGTGGAGACCTTTTGGGACATCTAGCTTTGAATGATTTAACTTTTCTGCTAAATTTAATCATTGTTTATTTTTTTGCAATTATTAATCGAATAACTGATTTAGTAAATACCTATAAAATTAATCACCAACTATTTTAATAATTATAAAGGTTGAGTCTTTGTTTTTACTTTGTTTTTTTTTTGTTTTTTTAGACAAATTCTCTGATCCCAACTTATATGTGAACATTTTGGTTTCATTACTCCTATGACAGTAAACTGAATATCTGTGGGGTTGTGGACAAAACAAGACAATTGAGAACATCATCTTGGGACATTTTACATATTAAATAACTAATCAAGAAGATAATCAACTCCTTTATTTATTTTTTCAGTCCTATATTGTAGTTCTGTGACTCCTGTATGGCCGCTTTGTATGATGATAAAAATATTTTTTTTTCTTATACTGATTCTTGTAATGTAAATGCTCCGTTCTTGTATAGCGCCTTTCTAGTCGCTTGTTGTTTTCGACCACTCAAAGCGCTTTTACACTACATCTATTCATACACTGAGCCTAAGTGCTCAAACAGAAACTAACATTCATTCGGGGTTCAGGATCTTGCCCAAGGACACTTCGACCACAACCAGGGGGAGCCAGGGATTGAACCGCCAACCTTCCGATTAACGGCCAACCCGCTCTACCTCCTGAGCCACTGCCGCCCTTGGCTGTAAGTTTAGGAAGCACTTGATTTGATCTGCAGCAGAGATTTCCATGAGCGGAGCACACATTTTAAAAGGCGATATCGCCGTCGATCATGTTCATTTAATTGTGGGGAGATAAAATCGTAATTGCGATCACTATTCGATTAATTGTGCAGCCCTAGTGACAGGAAGAGTGTCCTCTTGGATGGTGGATGGTCTTAATTGTGAATAACTGCCCTCTAAGTTCCCCGTCTAGTGGAGAAAACGCTGCCTCTACTGTTGCGTCTGTCGTGCTGAAACAGGAACTGTTGACACAAAGGTGGAAGAACGTTGTCACTGTATGCTGCTGCATTAAGATTAAAGGGCCTGAAGCAGGAAAAGAAAACGGTACACAGAAGTGTGTGTGGACGCTTGCAGCATAACATCTGGACAGGATTGTCCACATACTTTTGGCCGTATAGTTTTTATCTTCTGATGTATTTTAAGCCCTAACGCTGCGACAGGTTTGAATAATATTTAACTTCAATTAACATGAGAACAGGTGAATTACCATATGTTGATATAGGACTTCAGTCATGGTTCAGTTACATGGAAATATAGAAAAAGAAGAAGTAACGTCCAGCCCTAATTGTAGAGCCCATACACACACAGTGCATGCTGGGAGCCGGTAGACTCTCAGTTTGAGTGTGAATGAACTGGCAGATCTTCCCTCTGGGGGATTGTCTTAATAGGATGAATATTTGAGAATTAATTGACGGCTCCCCTGAAGATATCTCGGCCTCTTCTAACTCCGAACGTGTGCCGGAGGGAAGAATTTTATGCGGCAGATGATTTCCTGACCAGAGGGGGCTGCTGGCGTTCCGCTGCACTGTTCTTCACTCCCTGCAGCTGCCAGCAGAAGCTTTTTAACACGGCTGCCAGCAGATCGACCCACATCCCTGCGTCCATTTTAGGACGTTTTGCTGCCCATTTTCAGCAGCCTCAAGAGTTTGAAAGCAGAACCAGTGGTTTGAAATCATCAAACGGTAAATGACAGGATTTGGTGGAGGGGAGGGCTTCGTTCTCGTTCAAACATCAGACAGACAGAAATCTATCAGAGGAAAGGGAAAAATACAGCAGCAGGAAACAGAGCAGATATACTGTGTTTGTCAGGGTATGATGAGGATCCCGTTTAGGTTCAAAGAGTTAGTGAACCGATGCAGGAACCTGTACAGAACCACCTGCACTCTGCAGAAAATGATCATAATTATCTAATCACATTCAGAATCAGGTTGATTGCCAGGGACATTTTCACATGAGAGGTATTTTGGTGCTTACATGAACATAAATATATAAAGATAGAAAAAGTAAAGCTCAAAAATGTTCAAGTAGGACTATGCCAAATAAATAAAAGAAATGTTACTGAAGGAAACTTAAAAACGTATAATTCAGAAGGAGTCTGGCACAAAATCGAAAGACACAATAAAATATGAAACAACCAAGATGGGGAAACTAGAGTCATTTAAAAGATTTTATAACTTATCAAAAACCATCAGTACAGTATGTAAATTATATTTATGATATTACAGATTGTTTTACATGAAGTGCGTACATATAGATCCTAATGGGGATCAGAAGAAAATGCATCTAGCCTAGTATTATCTCTTAAATGTGGTTAGGTGGTGATGTGGTCAGTTTAGATAAACATACATATTTCCTTCCTGTGCGTTTGTGACTGCAGTTCAGTTTATTTATGTAGCACAAACCTGCACTGAGGCAGTTCCAAAGGGCCTTACAAACTTAAAAAAAATGAATTGTTATCTTGGATCTCTCCCGATAATTGTACCTTTTTAAAATGTAAAAACACGTGTCAAACTTCTCAAATGTCAAATACAAGAACTGAAAAAAATACAATCTGAAACAGGCAAATCGATGCACATCATCTTTGGATTTATACAACATGATTCACAATCGATTGAATTAATAGAAAGGGGGGGGGGGGCAGTGTTTCCAGGCTCTTACGCCGACCCTCACTCTGAATGAATAAATGAGCGAATGCACAGCAGTAGTCTTCTATTCAGAAACCACACATGGATGCAACTCCGAGGAGAACGTGTGCAGCCCGCCGTCTCTCTGTATCACCGTGAATGAAAGAAAGTATTCCTGTGAGGAACATAATTAAAGCATGACGCAGCTTAAACATTTACAAAAGATTCGTCCAGTGGTTCGAGCTGAACGACTGTTATCAGCAATCATTCTGAGAATCTGTTTAGTGAAAACACGTCCTCTCTCTGGTGGCAGCACGTGCTGCTTCTCTAGAGACTAGAAAAATGAATCAGTAGATTTACCATTAAGGAAGATAATTAGTTTTAAGGTGTGTTCACATGAAGCAAATTTAATCCTCGCAACGCTCTCCTCGCGGGGGTTTTATCGCTGGACAACTGCACACAAGGCGATAACTCGAATAAACACAACCTGCGATTACTACATGAACCCAAAGTAAAAGTTTTGCTGGGATTTAATTGCAATAAACGGATCAAACTGATGCCGAAATTCGTTTCTCCAAATAATGTCCAGTTTTGAGAAGCTCCAGTGAAGATAAATCAATGTTGTAATCCCAAAAACTAAAGGAAAAAGCTCATTTAATAAAAGCGGTTAACTCGGAGCTGCTCCCGCAGGTGAACGGTGTAGCTACGGGGGTTTATTTGTCCAAAAGCTGCAGCGCTGCTCCCGGCTCTTTGTCCTACACTTCCCCCCTCCGCCTGGTCCTCTCCACACAACGCTGTGAAGCGGTCGGTGACGTCCGGATAATCTCACCGCTGATGGGCTTTCGCAACAAAGCGTCAAGCGAATTTCTCGCTTAAAAGTTGAAAGATTTGAACTTGAGCGAACCGGCGAATGTCGCAACAAACCCATCTTCTGCGACGCCCGGAGCGAATTCGCATGAATTTGCATTGTTGCAAAGGCTGGATTGGCTTTAAGTGTGAACACGCCGTTACTGATGATATCAAAGGGTGAAATGACAACTGGATTTTGTTGCATCTGACGAATGACATCTGCGCTGGTGTGTTTACTGTCGCTTCACCCTGTCCGTGCTTGTAAAATATCCACCATGTCAGATAACATCTCTCTTTGTGTTTCTCTGCAAAATGCAAAAATGGGTCACAAAAATACCTGCAGGTAACGTCTACACGTGGGAAACATGCCACAGTGTCTGCGTACTTTACTGACTGTATGACAATCAGGGTGTTGTGAATTATTCAGAAGGACAAGAAGATTAATAAAAATGTTATTCACATTCTCTTGGAAAAACATTATCTATTATCCTTCACCAAGTCCTCCTGCAAATGAGTGTTAATTACTCAGTTTGCATGCTTGATATTGGCCGTCCATGTCTGCTCTCTCTCTTTTTCTGTCTAATCCCCAGCAGACATCAGTCTGACACAATCGCCTCCATCTGCTGGATATTTTTCCTGCTCTGAAATGTTGCTTTTCATCATCTGTGATCAGTGTCTGACGGTGATGTGGTGTGTGTGTTTGTGTCTGCAGGCCTGTGCTTACAAGTGAAGCTGCAGCGATGTTTGCCATTTAAACACAAGGTGAGTAGCAGAGCAGTGACCGTCTGTCGGCAGCTAGCCGTGCAGATCATCTACTTTTCACTTGACGCCGTCCTCATTTCTGTACATCGGTGTGCTGAACAGCAGCCGTATCAGACGAAAAGCTCGCAGTGAATTCACTGAGTCCACTGAGCTGTGGGCAACAGCTGAGCCCTGTGTTTCTACAGCTCGCTCTGTCGGCTGCTGTCCCACCACGTGTTCAGCCTGTATTTTAATAGCACCGTTAAAGTAGCTGAATTAGCTGTTAGCAGCTCCTGTTTGGATTCTACTCATGTATGTAGGTTACTTTCACACTGAAGTTTAAACTTTTGCTAGGGGCCGGTTTTTCATGGTGTGGTCTTTTGTTAAGACAAATCTTAATAGTACGGTTTTACACTTTTAGACAACAGTTTGGCCTCTTAAGATGACAATGCCATCCATCCATTATCTATACCCGCTTATCCGTGCAGGGTCGCGGGGGGCTGGAGCCAGCTCCATAAAGAAATGCCTTTCCCATTTTAGTGTAGAAGAACTTGACCTCAACCCTATTGAACACCTTTGGGACGAACTACAATGTCTCTCTTCTTAATAAACGGGCAAGAATTCCCTCAGACAAACTCCAAAATCTTGTAGAAGAGCTTTGCCAGAAGAGTGAAAGCTGTTACAGCTGCAAAGGGGGGCCAACTCCATATGAATGCCTATGGATGTCATAAAAGTAATGTGTAGGTGTCCCAGTACTTTTGTCCATATAGTATATTTCACTCGTTCTACTTTCAAATAAACTCTGTATCAGCTGTCTGTCTGCAAATCCTCCTCAGAGTCAGAGCATCTGGGCCCAGCCTTATCTACGAGCAGCACCGGTTTTCTAAGCAGATTTATGTGTAATGAACACGGACACACTGAGTCTAAAAGGATGTGTAGTGTCCGTGTGTCCGGATTTGACTGAGTTATAAGTCAGAGGAGTGTGTTTTTCCAGTAACCTGTGCTAAGGGATTTAAAGGACCTCCTCCATCAGCTGCAGCTTCGCCTGCTGACTGTGCTGGTGAGCAGATAAATCAGCAGCGTTCACCCTTTCACCTCACACAGTGTCTTTGCCTGAAGCCTCTTCCTCTGCGCCTTCCTGCACCTCCTGAGAGGGGTGCGGCTCAGTCTGAAAATCCCTTTAGGTATTTTTTGTGAACTGGTTTCATCCAGTGGTTTTATATCTTTTAATGATTAAATGTATGTTTTGGAACTGAGCTGTTGTTACGAACTGGTTTAAGGTTAAACATGGTCACTAGCTGGTGGCGATTACATAATTCCACAAAGCATGTTTTACCCCACAGAACAGAAGTTTAAAGACTCGACCAAACAAATCGAGCGCTCCCACGGGCAACAGAAGAAGGTGGGGGAGTTGGTAGAGACGGGACTTCTGGAGCAACTGGGCTGTTGTTTCATTAACAATTCAAAGAGTACAGCTCAGAGAAACAGAGGGAGGCAGAAACACAGTCAGCCCGTTAAAAACAGCTAATTAGCTGTTAATTCTCGTCCCACTTTTAGAGGTCAAGGGTCACAGAGAGAAGAGTTTTCCTGGACGACCATCAAACGGAGCGTGTGGAGGCAGGTGGAGAGCTGCGTGCTTCATCTCCGCAGCATTGAAGCGGCTCTACAAACAAAGATGAGTAGCCTCTTGATTGGAGGAGTGTTTCCTATCGGGGAGCTGCTGAACATCTGCTCGGTGCAGAGAGCGCAGCCAACACGACGCAGCTTCACACTGCAGTCTGAGCTAAGAAAGGCAGAGAGACACAGGTCACATCAAGCGGTATCTTTATTTCCTTGATGTCATACAAGCTTTTAAAAGAGTTTTTGTTGGGTAGGACATTAAACACTGTCACATCAGCGGGCTATAAGTAATGTAGACAGTTTGATCTTCATGGAGGGGTAGAAAGTTTCTCTACCGAAACATCAAGAAAAGTCAAGAGATTAAAGTGATCTAAAAGGTGCCAGAATAAGAAAAGAAGGACAGTGTTTAGGTTGACCACTGATGTTGGGTGATCCGGTCTGGCTCGCAGTCGCTGTTCAAGTTCATTTGAAAGGTGTTGGATGGGTTTGAGGTGAGAGCTCTGTGCAGGCACGTCGACTTCTTTCACATCAGACTGAGAAAACCATTTCTTTACGGCTGAGCAGGAACGGGACAAACACAATCTGATGACACACAGAACAAATATTTTACGCTTTGTTACGAAACATTTATATTGTTTGGTGTCGCTGTGAACAGTTTCTTGTCTCAGCGTTTGAACCGTCACCACCCGTTTACTTAATTGCGTTTGTTCTCTGAGCTGCACGTGTCGCTTTTCTCTCTCTTACTCTGCAGTTTTCAGTCCAAACTGCCTTCCTCTAAACATTTCTTCTCTTTTAAGTAAGCATGTAGCAAATATCTGAATAAATAACACCAGAAAGAAGAAAAACGCTGTGCGACCTGCCTTTTAACATCAGTTCTTTTTCCTTTTCTCAGTTGGAAATTTACATTTCAGAAGGAACCCATTCTACTGAGGAAGATAGTAAGTGTCTTTAAATTTTTTTTTTTCAATTTAAAACAAAATGTGTTTGCTTAGATTAAACAACCTCCCACTGAGGCAATTCTCTCAGACATGTTGGATGTGCTGTGTTCTGCAGCTAGAAATTCAACAAAGTCAACATTAGTGTTTAAGGGTCAGCGAGGTTAAACCAACGGTCTGATGCAGTTTTACAAACAAAGGGTTGAAGTAACGGCATGTTCCCCACCGATGATCTAACAGGCTGATTCTTGTGTTTTTCTTCATGCTAGCAGTCTAAAGGTGTCTTAAGACTAAATGCAAAGCATGTTTTAGAGGCGGGGCAATTGCATACACGGTGAAAAAGAAACACGGCTGTCCAAAGTCTGCTTCGGCCTCATTCTGAACACACGTTCAAGATTTAAAAGTTGCTCATCAAGACATTATGGTAGTTTCTGGTGAGATTGTCCACAGAGGATTAATCCTAATGATTTAGGTGACATCATGATCTGCACAGCTGCACAGTTAATTGAAATATTGATATCGCAGTGTGGCCAAGAGCAACATCCAAATTGCAGAAGCTGAAGTTTTTTTGAAAACGGTGCCGCAGAGACACCCGCCTACACATCCTGTTCTCCAGAGAAAGAAATCGGTTTCTTTGATGTAGACATCGTCATGATTTAGTAGTTATTTTCTGTGAAAATGACAGTGATGCAAAAATGATCATTCCCACTAATCGTGAGTCATACTGCAATAAATCATCACAATATGATTTTTACCATATTTTGCATCACTTTGTTCTAAAACGCAGTATCTCAAAGTCGACTGCACTTTCCTATAGGCCACTCATGTGACTCATTTGCCTTTATTACCTGTGACAGGTTCTTCACACATTAACACTAATGATGGACCTCCAGCACAGGCAGTCATGGCTAAAAATAAAACTAAAGTTCATCTGTAGGCAGAACATCCACTTTAAAAAGCAAAAAATAAAACCTTAGTTTTGGCCCATTTGTGCAATAATGCAGCACTGAAACAGTGAAGCTGCTGTTCCGCTGGGAGTTACTCACTGAAGTTTGTGTCTCCAGTTAACAAGCAGATCAACGACAAGGAGCGAGTGGCGGCCGCCATGGAAAACCCAAACCTGAGGGAGATCGTGGAGCAGTGCGTCACCGAACCGGATGACTGACGGAGGAAGCTCCACCTACCTGAAGCAAACCCGTGTGTGTGTGTGTGTGTGTGTGTGTGTGTTATTACTCAGATTCTGCTCTGGGGAGTTTGCAGGTGTCTGGAGGATTTTCTGGAGAGTCTCCAGTGAGAAGCTGAGGAACACTGAGGAGGTGATTTAAAGCCAGAATGGAAGCTGGAATAAAGCCACAGATGTGTGTTGACTTTCCCATCATTCCCTGTCGGGCCGCCTCATGATGCGCAGCAGCAGGTCTTTGTTGTTGTCGTCGTCTGCAGAGTTCTATTTAAGGACACGCTGCAGAAGAAGTGGGCCAGTGTTTTCATCTTTTCCTGTATTGACTGTTTTTAGAAGTCTGTCCTTTTTTTAAAATGCACTCATCCGCTGGTTCAGATTTATGTCTGAGTAGAAAATATGAATCTTAGAGGGAATGATTTTTAAAAAGATAAATGTAAAAAAAGAATCTGATATTAAAAGCTACATCAAAGAGAAGCAGCTGCTGAGTTGTGTGTGACTGAATAATGAGTCTGAATCATTTAGCAGATTTAGAAAGGTTCCTGCTTTACAGAGTGCCTGTTAAAATACCACTATTCAAGCAAATACACACACTTACATAAATAAGTTTACTTTTACCTGGGATTTTTCTCTCATGTCTTTCTCTTTTAAGTCGCCAAACTCCATGGAAGAATAACTAAATCACTGGATTTGCCCTGAAGTATAAACTTCACTAGCTTAACTTTAAACCTACAGCAGAGACGACTTGTAAAAGTTGAAATGTTGAACTTATTTCCACATCCAGCAGCTACAGAGCAACATGATGCTTCATGTGGAGTCGTGTTTGTGTCACCTGATGAAGGTGAGTCTAGTATTCTGTGTTTGGTCGCCGCCTGCTCCTCAGGGAGAACAATCCACTGTGTTCACCAGCTGCTCTCTGACGGAGTCTGTCTGCGGTTTGCTGCCAAGCAGGTCGCGTTCAACGGCTTCATCTCTGAAAATGCCGCTGAGCGAGCACTGGACAGAAAATAATGAGCTGGAAGTCACTCAAAAGCTCTGTAAAGCTGAGGGCAGCTGCAGATTTAGTTGATAATTGAGTCTTGCTGCTTTAACCAAAACAACCGTGCAAAGAGGGAACAGACTCTGAATATCCTCACTCTGCAAAAAATCTAAAAAGGGTCTAAAACTAAAATTTGTCCTTCAGTTTATTAAGGCTGAGTAGCCTAAAAAACAGAAATGCCTCAAATATAGATAGATAGATGGATGGATGTAGATCTGTCTTTACATCAGCTAAGCACAGCATACTACAGTTTTTATTTTAAGTTTTTAATTTAAGACTTTTAGCTGATCTTAGAACAGGAAAATGGTACAAGGCTTAGCTTAATTACATAAAGTATAGAGAAGTTATCAAGTAAGGGGATTAATGTAATAAGATGATTTTGAAATGGTGATAAATAAACCATGACTCCCTTCCTTCGTTAGCAAATCTTCAGTTAAACTAATTATCCAAAGACAAGATTTCATTTTTCATTTTTCAGAAATATCCACTTTGGATCTTCTTCCCAACTGAACCTGGCTCAGATATTTCAACAACACTGAACGGCTTTTTAAGGAGAGATGGACTTGAGGACACGTTTCAGCTCTGCTTAGTATTTGTAATGGCAGGATTCACATGTTGGGGGCGCTGTTGGACTTACATCAAAGATCCTGTGAGGAATAAACGATAATTAGAGCTGTGTCAGGACCACAGAGCTGATAAACATCCGAATAGATCCATGCCTTCATTAGAGAGTTGAATTCAGCCGATACAAACTGCATAAATAAACACAAAGTTCCACCTAAAGTTACCGGCAGAAGTTGGAGTCTGCTGAAACCACGCTGTGTTCTGTTGGATTCCTGCAGACTCTGAGCTCTCCAGCTGAACAGATGAAAACAGCTGCAGAGTATGAAAGGGTTTTTTTCTTCTTCTTTTTTTTGGTGCAAAACAACTTGAGCACTGTGACAGTGGAATTTCTAGTTGTAGAAAATAGCCACATGCACATTGGTAAATTCAAAGTCAGAGAAAAAAATGCAACCTTGTAGATTTCTTTCCCCCTCTACCACAAAAATCACAACAGTTCTCAAATTCTTCATTGCTGGTGCACAAATCCTCTTCTGTGAATCACAAATTAAAGAACTCATGCGCTCACATTTTTGCTGCAGTGAATATTGTGCAAACACATTCACATACCTTTACCTAAAAATGTCAATTCATGCAGCCAGAGTAGAATGTATTTAGACATTTAACATGTGAGTTTGCAGTAATCGGCAAAGAAAAAGGGGTCAACGAGACACCGCACTTACAAAGCTTAGTGGACTTTAAGAGACAGCTGACCACCTAGAGCACACTTCAGCTATTTTTTTTCTCCATAGCTCTGTACCTGCACTCTGCATAATGAGAAAGTTGAATCTAATCTAAGCAGAAGTGGCACCAAATGAAGAGCAGGTTGGGAACTGAAAGAACTGACTCCCTTCAAAGAGCTTTTTGATTTGATACTTTCTAAATCCAGCTGTCTGTTGCTGAATTTGTGTGTTTTTACATGAAAGTATTGATACTTTTTAAGTAAATGATGTGAATGCACACAGTGTACGTCCTTGCTAATGCCTTGCTCTGTGTTGGAAAGCAGTGAAAGCTAAATGTAATGCAGTGCCACAGCCTCACAGCTCCCATACAGCCCACGTCTGTGATCAAAGCCAGTGTGCAAATGCCGAGCAACAATAAAGCCTCAACACTGGCACATCCAGCAGTTCAGGGGGGTACAGAGCAAGTATCTCTGACTCTGCTGCGCTGAATTATTAGCCTCTCTGACAGGAGGCTGGGAGCCCCGCGGGAAAGCCTTTGATTACAGAGGAGAAGAGGTGATTTGGATTCAGCGTCAGAAACATTTTCAGGGCTCTAGTAATGAAATGGGAGTGTAAGGAGAGGCGGGAGAGCATAGAGACTACTGCGTCGGCTCTGATATCAGGTAAATTGGTATTTTCTGTCAGCAGTGTGTGTGTGTTTTAATAGTGTCTGTCTGTGTCGCCTTCAAGTCCATACTACACAGCTGATCTTTGGGCCTTAGGTGGGAAGCAGGAGTTTTAATGTTGACACCACTTTCATGAAATGGCTTATTGAATCTGTTCTTACATTCTCATTTGTCAGCTGGTACGGGTCACTTAACCTTAAAAACAAAAATCGATTGCAAGGCATCATCAGAGTGTGCTAGTTGTGCGTGAAAATCACAGCCATGAACGACCTTTTGCTTTTCTTTGTGGTTAGGACTTTGAAGAATGCCCTATTCAAAGGAGTTCAAGTTGCTTCCATCTGGCCATATATAGCTTTAGTGTATGTTTTTTAATATTTTAATAGTCATATTTATTTATTGCCTATGTATAAATATCCTGCTTGATAGTCGTGTGCTGACAGCATAAAGACTTGCCTCTCTGGGATACTAAAGATATCCTTGATCCTTGACATTGTTGGATCCACGTTTCAAACACATAAATGTGATAATTATGTGTTATTTTAGGCTACAATTTGCATTTAATTCTGGTCATTTACCACATTTCTCAACAGTGTCTTTAACCTCGAAGCCACCCTGCCGCCCACTGTGATAGCTGTGCTTACAAATAACATTTTTCATACATACACTGAGCAAAATTACAAAACGCAACACTTTTGTTTTCTCCCCCATTCGTCATGAGCTGATTCACAAATCTGTCAAAATCTGTGTCAGTGAGCACTTCTCCTTTGC